ACTGGAGTTCAGACGTGTGCTCTTCTAACCCTAACCCTAACCCTAACCCTAACCCTAACCCTAACCCTAACCCTAACCCTAACCCTAACCCTAAGAGACATGTTCACTAATTACAGAGCCTTCTACAACATTTCGACACCTTGTTGGACAGTCAGTAATTAACGGACATGTTTCTAAATTATTTTCCTGCACAGACTGACACCAACAATATAGACAGAGTGTCCTTAATTACTGCAGAATGACAGATTGACTTGTCAAAATACCCTATCTGACTTTAATTATTCCAGCATGACAGATTGACAGCACAAATCAGCATCTTCATCAATTTTCAGGACAGATTGACACCCTATTGACCAATAATTAGGAGACATGTCTCCTATTTATTGCTGAAAAATTGACAGATTGACTCCAGTAGGGCCCTACTGGGCCATTTATATTATTAGGCGTACATCTTTGATTCGTTTCACGACAGGCACCTAATGGAGCGAAGGGGCATCGCGTAAAAGACTCGAGATTGGATAGGTGATGGGGACTCAACGAAAATTTCATTGGTGATTGTGATTCCGCACTCGGTGTTGCCACCAGAGCCGGGATTAAGCGCTGAGAGGCAGTGGAGATTAGCAGGACTTCTGACATTTGATCCACGGATGTTGAGCTTTGTCAAGGAGAGTGCGCTAGTTCGCCCGGCATAGGCTCAATTGGATTAGATTACGGTCACAATCGCACGAGAGGCGGGGTTGACGGAATGTTGCAAGAAGCACTCGAAAATGGTACAACGTCCGCCTGAAGAGAAGTAGATTTGAGGATTCAATGCTCGGACAAACGGGGACAACGATCTTAGAAGAATGGGTAGCAATGAAAGATAGTCTAAAAGAATGTCGAGCAAGGAAAGAATTAAAACGCCGACAGGAAGGACGGACGAATAGATAGAATGATGGGAATGCGAGGACAGACCGGCGAAATGGACGGTAAAGGCCCAAAACGACGAAATAGGAACGACGTGGCGGGTCCGAAAAGTTGTCGCCGGGGAAGGGGGGGCGGGGGGATGGAGAACAAACGCCGATACGAAATAGGCATCCGTCAAAAGTCCAACTCATGTGCAAGGGCCGAACGGAGGCCCGAGGCCGAGGCTAAAGGGAAGACCTGATGAGCAGTAGCACGCTCTAAAGGATCAAATGAGGGCTTTCCAACATATGTTGCGGCCTGACGAGGTCTATGATTGCAGTGATATGAACAAAAAGCACAGGTTTCGAGCTGAGCTGACGTACCTCTTTCATCGACGTCCTTCCCGCCACGGACTCCGTAAATGACATCCGCCCTCCTAGCCACTGCCATCTTGTCGAAACACGGGACTGTCACAGCCTTCAGCCGAATCGTAGCTCAATACGAGACGACAGAGTCGAGCATTGTGTCAGCGGTAGTGGAGATCGATGATGTCTTGTTGGTGCATGGGCTAGCGCGGGCTAACTTCGGAGGCTCCCGCTGCAGGGCACGCGAGGCTGTCGAGAAACGTTCGTTTCTCGTTGATGGAGTTGGCGTTGACTTTAGTTGAGTGCTGGGTGGCGCGGGTCAAGATAGGAGACGAGCACGTATGTTCAGACGAGGTTGAGTGGTACATATTGACGGTTGCATCTATACAAAGTTCATGAAGGGTTGGAAACAGAACATGAACAAAATGACAAGACTCACGATTACGATACCACACCAATTTCCTTCGCATTTGCTCCCTAATGGCTCACGTTAACCACACCTATTTCCAACGGAAGCCTTGACTTAGGTCTGGACGAGAGAGCTTATTAGGAATGGCCAGCAGAAGAGACGTTGTCGATGATGTTTCACTCACCGTATCCTGGAACGTTCAACGCTTGTTGGAACGATCGAAATTCGCAAGGAACTTGTATTCCTCTCTCCGTCTTTCGTCCATTATCGAGGTAAAGCTCTTGTCGTTGAAGGACTTGATCTTGCTGGGTTAACAGGTGGTCGAGAAACACCTACGAGACGCGATTCAAGAGCCAAGCCAGTTGAACGCCAATATGAACTTATCGATGACGACTCACTCCCATTCTCCAAACCCTCACAGGCCATGGTCTTGTCTTGTTAGGCGAAACTGGCGTGTCCGTGAGGGAAAAGGTGTCTGGCTCCTGCTTTGCCATGTCGAAGAACAACGCCCTCTTGACCTCGATCTGCGTTCTTCCTCAGCCTCCTCGTGCGTTAACGCCAGTAGGTGACGATGGTACACGTATCCAGGCCGCGAATGGATGTCTTCATGAGATAACCAGCTCTCATGAGGGCCGGAAAGATGAGACTGTCGGAGAAAAAAATGGGAGGCAGGGTCGTCGTCCATCGAACCATGTCGTGACAGGCATGAAATGGGGATTTCTAGAACAGAAAAAGAGACAAAATATGAGCGATAGGGCTTATAAAAATGACCTGGCGAGGGTAAAACATGCCGTACAACTCACAAATGCCGTCCTAGGCTCCGTGGTACCGCCAGGTCATTCGTAAAGTCGTCGGCTGGTTCGTCTTTTTCGAATCGAGTAGGAGGAATGCCATCGTCAGCGACATTTACTCGCGTTGCGAGAGTTGCAAGTCGACGGGGTGTTCGGGCCAGGGTGGATCTCGACGTTCGTAAGAGAGAGATGAACTCGCAGTGTCAGACGGTTTGGTTTCGTGGATCTAATCTAATCTGCTCTGATCATCTGTCCGCTGTCTTCCACCGCTAGGATGTGGGCTGAGTCAATAGCATTAAGAATAACTGTAAGATACATTACGGTACGCGACCTTAGATCTGTACATAAAGGAATACAGGAGGACCATCATGATGCGCTCTACAACAATGGTTGTCGACGACGAACATAAGGCATAAAGGCGTCAAAGCATAAAAGGGTCTGCTCCAGCCCCAGGCTGAAGGATTTGGGTGGGCGGCATTGCGCTACAGACGAAGTTGAGCCTTCATGTTCTATAAAGAAAGTTCACATAAGCGTCAGCGCATCCGTGGTCAACAAGAATACACACCAAAGGATGATTGCTCGACATCTGGATAGCGGACGAAATCTAATGCATCAGCATAGGAGCTAAGGAAACGACTGAGAACGAACCTGAGGTTCCCAGCTCCCTCTGCAACTCTTCTTGACGTCCGCGTACGGGCGGTTCATGATACGAGAGAGGAAAGTATGGCACTCGCTCTTGATGCGCTCGTCGACTTCGTCTCTCATATTCTCCTTCACATTGCGGGCGTGTTCTCTGATGACGAAGACAAATAGACGTTAGTGACGAGGATAGATTCAACGTGATTCCACGAACCTCGCGTTCTCCATGATCTCTTCCAACGTTGGCCGCCTATTCGAAGTTTCAAGAAGAGATACAATAGACTAGAAAGTCGGACGTGATTAGAAAAGGAGAATGCACGAAGACTAAGCCCACACCATACCTGAGTCATGGTTCGATGTTTGCATCTCTCAGACTCGAAAGTTTCCTCGTGGTCTCTGCACGCCGATATGCAGATCTACTCAGATCGATCATGATCGGTTAGTAGGCGCGCGACGAACGAGGCACTTACCGCCAGCGGCTTCTCGCCGATCTGGATTGGCAGTCGAGGACAGAATCCCGAGCAGCTTCTATCAGACTTGCGGATCTTCTCTGCGAGGCATCTTTGCTGTAAACGATCGAAGATGGGCTCGACAACCACTGAAAAGAAAGATTCAGCTTTGAAGACGAGTTCAAAGGCTTATGAGAGACGTACCACGTCGAGCGACACGACGTACTGTGAGAGTAAAGTAGGCGTCAAATCCGGCAGCGAGGATCAAAGTTCTACCAACGTACGGGTACTCTTGACATCTCCTGCCCGGTTACAGCGTTGATGGCGTAGATCTGCGGATCCTCGATGAGCGGATGATGAGGATCCCGTGGCGAAGACGTACTAAGAAGAGTTCCGGAGTGACACGAGTCGACGATCGCCTGTATGAACGTGAACGAAATGTTCATGGAAAATTCAACAAGAATGACGTACCATAAGGCGACAGCCCTTCCTGAGACGCTTTACCAGCTTCTCATTCAACATCTTCGCAGAGTTGTCGCAGCGGTCCAACGCCAAAGAAACAAGGTATGCGCACCTTATCGGAGATGGTCTTGTCATCTAGAATGTCGCCCTTGACAGGGTGCACAGCATCGCATGGGATAATAACTGGGAAGGAAAGGTGAGGTCGAGCGGAAAAGATCACTGTTGTAGAACACGCACATTCTTCCTGCCCATCTTCTTCAATGCCCGCGACGTCTTTGCGCTGTGATGAATGACCAGAATCTAAGGAGAAATTAGACGAAAAAGCATCACGAAGGCGGACGAAGGCTCACAGAGGAAGAAATAGTCAACATTCTCCTCGGGTAAGATGAACGCCTCTAGATGAGTTGACTGGTACATGAGGTTAGGCACGATGAGCAGCGACGGTAACGATAGGACACACAATGTTCTCTTGCGTTGGACGTTGCGATGATGGGTCGCCTTCTGACAGCACGATGACGTCCTTATCTTCAAACCCGAAGCGTTCTATGGATTTATGGAGAGATGAGGATAGAAGAGGTGAGAGAGTGCCATGAAAAACGAACCTATAAGGACCTTCTTCACGCTGGCCACGTCGTTCGTCGGCTCCTTCAACCTCCATCCAAGCGTCGGTAGCGACTCGGAATAGGTGATGCCAACCAATAGCGCCACCTTCCGACGTTGGGGCCGTGGCTGGGAGAAAGGAAGGGCCTTGATGAGATTAAGCTACAGAAAAGCGGCGTCTTCAGCGAATCCATGAGAACGAGATGGAAATGCGGCACTTACGGACGCACGGACCAGGACCTTGAATGTGCCGGACTGGCGGCGGAAGAACCAGATATTCGGCGACATTATCCAGGTAAGTATAACGAGAGATGAAAGGCTGATATTGCAAGTGTTAGACGCAGATATACAAGGTAGGGAAGGATGGTCGACATACCTCCACGACCCTTGTAGAACGAATGTGGTGTCGAGTGAAGTCTTAACGACCTGAAGCGTCCTGCTTCAGCTCCTGGTCAAAGACAACTGTGGTACTTCCAGATGCTGGAAGAGAAGAGCCAGAAGTTCGGAGAGAGCACCATCTGCTCCTCGACTTTATAATGGATTCGCGAATCCGCAGGCTGTGGCGGAACACAGCCAGTGCGGCAGAGCAGGCGTTCACTCTGCCGTCGCGGGCGCCTATCGTGCGTCATCCTGATGGGCATTGGGGAATTAGACGGGCTGATAGGCGAGGACTGCAGGGCGTGCTCGTGTCGTGCGATGAGGTTGGTGGTGGTACCGTTCAGGTTTCGCGCCCACGTTGTCGGCGCGTGTGAGTTTCGGCCCGCGTAGATAAGATCGGAACTGGGAGATTTATTTAAATCTAGATACATCCTTTATCATCCACCACCACCTTGGAAGAGTGTCTGAGAAACCCGAGGTACGAATTCATGCAGATCTGAAACCAGGAGGGTATAATTTCTGTCAAGTACGGTCGCACTACATGCGGTCTGCGCTGTGTACAGTGTAGTATGATCGTGCCCCGATGCAGGCAGCTTCCAACCCTGAGTTGGATTTCCGGCCACCGTCCTTTCAAAGTCCCTTTGAGGCTTCTAGGAAAGGTCCTCGTAATATTTTCCCCGGGAGGCGCCCGTCTTACGGCCCGTCTGCCCGACTTCAGCGCCTTCCGGGCCAGTCGCCTGTCTCCTCCTCTCCAACGCTTCGACGACGCACAGTGAGCTTCCTCAACTTTACGATCCTCCCCATTTTATGTCGCGAAATATTTCTGGATACGGATGCGGCCCAATAGGCCGTACGTCTGGTCGACATGAGGACCACGACTCCCGTCTCAGCTTACTTTAAAGGGCCGCTTTTGTTTTACAACTCGCACACAAATCTTTTTACATAACCATTTTCACTATTTATAGATGCCGTCCTTTTCTGCAGTCCCCTTGTCGAGACGATCGACCTCCACAAATATTTCGAAGGGCTTCAGACGGGCTGTGGTAGGAATTGTATCGAGACTTATAAATGAAGCGCGAAATTTTTGGAGAGTGACGGGGTCGTAATAAACGGACTCATATGACGGTTTTATTCGCTACTTTTGTTGCTCTTTATTTCTTTCATCTTGAACGTCATCGACTGCGTCAGTGAGACCCGGCCCCGGTTTGCCGGGGCTGATTAGATCGGGCGATTGTAATCTTATCTTGACCACAGAGATTCCCAAGATTCCCGTATCTTTTGCTGAACCTCCACCTGGCGCTTTTAGAACGTAGCGACGAATCTTCTACCTATGACACATAAGACATTTATCGCTCTGGAAGACTGTACTCACCTGCTGCTGTCATTAAAGTCTTAGGAAAAGCATGCCTCTCCTTCTCGTCCATGCATGCAGGTTCATAGGTGAGTATAACCTTCTTTCTGACGGCGCTCGTCGAGCATCGGCCTCTACTTCTTTCCCCGACGCCCATTAGTGAAGACACGTTTACTAATGCAGGCCACAGATCTGCAATGTGTACTCGCGGGCAAAGAAACGAAAGCTCTCCGAGATGTCGTCTCCGTGAGCGCGACGAAGTATACTGGTCGAACGGAGAGCTAACTACATCCTTCCAGGGAGGGTACCAAAAATATGGCGCAGGGTTACGAATGTTAGGGCGCCAAAGAAGGCCTATGTCAAGTTCATCAAGCGTCCCCTTTTTGAATTGGGACGGGTGTAATGAGGGTTAAAGCCATGGCTGTTGCCACGTTTGCACGGCTATTCTTGGAACACGAGGCATGATTCAATCCTTTCCCCACCCTTGGATTCTCATTTCTGGGTTTTAGGTCGAACTTACGATATGCTCTGCGCTGCAGTCTTTCCTCGTTCTTCCGTAGGCGAATCGCGCAAAGACATCGAGGCCGCTCTTCGGGCTTCAATCGTCTGGGCGCTAGGGGTGCAGCATGTCTGTTTGACAGGCCGTGAAGTTGAGTAGGAGGGTATGGGCATCATGAGGTGAAGTTAAACTCTCCGTTCGTTCAGAGGCTCTCACATATACCGAGCGGCGCGACGTACCTGCCTTCTAATTCCTTCCCTCTCACCCTTCGATTTCCTGTCGTGCCAACAAACACAGCAGAATCAAGGTACTTCACAGTAAGTAATCTGCATGGACCTCCTGATACCCTAGCCGATGATGGTAAACTTCTCCAGCTCTCCCGATCTTCCAGCGACATCGTCTTCGACGATGACAGGCGCTCAAGACGTCTCAATCGAAATACTTACTGAGATTTTTCATTTCGCATTGGAGCCCGAAAACCCTTTATCTCTATCGCCATTTGACACCCGACGACACATCAGCGCCGTGTGCTCGTTCTGGCGCGACGTCCTCAACAGCACCCCATCTTTATGGCAGTCCATTACTTTTGCACCTACCTCCCCCCAACACGGCGAAGAAAGCCGCGCCCTCGCCCATGCATGGCTTCAGCGTAGTCGCAACAGTCTTGCCCTCGATTTCTGCTCCAGGCTTCCTCCCCAGCTGCCCACCCGCGTCGAAGATCTCCTTTTTGGAGGCGGCGCTATCAGAATTGTCGAGGAGATTATCCGGCCATTCGCATGGAGAATCGTCTCTCTCACCTGCATCCTCTCGGGCTGCAAAGACGATATACGTGCCTTCCTCACCCTTCCACCATCTACCTTTCCCAATCTCGAGAGCGTCAACATCGTCTTCCTCAACGATGTCCAGAATCCCCGATCGGAATTCACTTTCGAAGAGAGGAGGGCGTTTTCGGTGTTCGTTGATGCCCCGCGGCTCATGAGCGCGAGGCTTCACCTTCTCAACGGCATTGATCCACTCGATTTGCGGCTTCCGTGGGGCCAGATGAAATTGCTCGATTTCGGGAACATTCCTATGGCAGACGATGTTTTCATGAGCATTATGCAAATGTCGGCGCGCTCGCTTCGAGACGGAACCTTCAACGTTGTCCTCGAGCCGCGATTCCACCTTCCACTTGCTGCGACATTTCCGCAGATATCTATGCCCAATGTCATCAGATTTAGACTTATCCTCGGTCGTCATCTCGCAGATCCAGATTTATTCAGACTCCTCGAATTTCGCGCTACGAAGTATTTACAGATAGAGAAAGTTGGAGGTTTCAGGGGCATCGATCTCGAGACGATCACGCCGCTCATACGTCCCATGTCAAGCTCTCTGGAGTATGTTACCCTTCTCGACCTCGAGGACGGGACGAACACTATAGCACATAGTCACGTATATTACCCCGAAATGGCCACTATTTTTCGAGCCGTTCCAGGCCTCATATATCTTCATCTACCCCGAGGTATCCTCCTCGACGGCCCACTGGTCGAGGACATCGCTTCGGGGCGCGTTCTCCCGCGTCTTGAAGCATTGGACGTGGCTGTGAGTGGCCTCGAGAACGGCTATCGAGTCATCAAGATGGCGGATGGTCGAAACCACGAAGCTCTGCGCCCCGCCTTCCAAGCGTCCTCGCCTTCACAAATATTCGACGTTGCGATACCCCGAATTACGCCTATCGTGCGCCTCCAGTTGCAAGTGCCGCTCGCGGAGAGAAATGCGCTGGAGGAGTTGCTAGCTAATTTCGTTTCGTCGGGTCACCTGGCAAATACGGTTGTCGAGCTCGTTGTTTGAGACGCAGACCGTCTAGAATTTTGAATAGAACTGAGAGGGCGGATCGAGGTCACAAATTATCTGGTTTCTTTTTCTTGGATCCTCGCAGTGGTAGACGGTGTTCGATACTTTTACGAGCTTTCTTGTCATAGAATGTGCCAGTTCGCTTTGTTGATCTTGTAATTGTACGATACGGATCTTCAAATTTGATTTAGCGGAATTTTCTCGAGAACCAACTTGCAAGGATCAACTGACTATCAGACACCAAAGCGATGATATTGGGACGTTTTCGTAGGCGGGTAGCGTAGAGAAAAACAACGGACAGAAAAGCGAGAGGACAATGAAGATTTTTGGGCGAAATAAAAAATCGGAAGTATTGTAAAAGTCAGGCGGACGGGCCAAAGGAATGATGGAAGTGCCAATGGAGCGAAATGGCGGTAGAAAGGACATAAATGGAAGATAAGAAAACCATGGAGGCGTCGGATCCGAGGGGCGTAATGATGAATGGAGAGGAGAGTCGAAAGAAAGGACCTTGAGCCTCGTGTAGGATACCGCCTGCGCCTTCTGTGGAGATTCAGGCCATTTGGAAGCTATAGAGAACGAGAAAGATCAGACAAGACCGGCGACGAGGAACAATTAAGGCCCACGCACCCAGCTATAGAGTCCCGAGATGTCATCCTCCTTCGTGTTCGTATCTATCTTCATCCTCTCATCGCTACGCGCCTATCACATCTCCGAGCCTCGATATGAGAAAGAGCGTGGCTGTGCACACGGGTTCGTGATGAGAAATACAACCCGAACGATTGGTGAAAGGACATACCCGATATACGTTAGGAGGTTGTATGAGGTCGCTTGGACGAGGACCTTGAAGTTGCGGACGTATAGAGCTGGACAAGAGCCAGCGCCGTCGATGTCCCATCAACACCCTCCAAACTACTCCGAGTCGCCTGTGGGCAACGAGACTAGGTCTGCCTCGTTCAGAGAGTGGGTTACCGCAGCAGCCACCGGAGCAGCCGGGGATCTTGGGCGGGCATAGCGCGGAGCGATGAGGCCAATGCACAATGTCAATGAGGGAGGTAGTCGGTGGCAACGTGTCCTCGTCTCGTGGATGACGAGCTTGGGGATGACGTCCAGCTCCGAATGCTCGACTAGAGACACTACAAGTTGCTCGATGGAGGTGTGTCTCCGCATCCGCTGGAAGAGATTGGCGGTGATCCGGGTGTCTTGTTGGACTGCGCAAGTCCAGCTCTCTGCGGATCAAGGTCAACGGGGGTCAAACGTTCAAGATCCGAGAGATCGAGTGATTGACGGGCCAGCTACCGTTCTTGAAAATTATGATTAGCTAGCGGTGGCGACGATGGCAGAGCTGAGACTCACAATTTTGGTAAGTGCCACGTCGATTTCATCCGCCATGCCTTTCTGCTAAGCCACGACGAGAAAACTGCGTCGTGTAGCTAGGAAGCGTTTCACATCTGGTAAAACTTAGTATGAACATCATCGAAAATCAAGAATCGCGATGGCTTACCGTGCAGGATTCTTCATGCCCGCGAAGACTGGGATGCGACGACCCAGACAATCCAGGGCTTCCTCGAGAACGAAAAGGACATTGGTCGACACGTTCCTGGATTGACATAACCTAGAAAGAGTTTAGAATTCGCTAGAGCGTAGCCAGTAGGAGGGAAACGTACACCTGTAGCTCCTATTCTCCTCTTCGACGTCGTACCCTTCTTTGACTGTTTGTCCGGCCCATCGCCGCGGTCTACCTCGTAGCCAACCTCCGCTAGTCACCACACGAGAAAACGCCTGTCTTCTGAGCATCGTTGATGAGACGATCGAGGCGTAAATCCAGAGGCAGGGGTTCATCAATGAAACGTATCTTGATGGGTCGTACGAGGTCTTGGCTGGCGAATGGGCTGGAAGGCATCCGGTGTCGGAGGCGTAGATGAGAACTTCAATGTCGTTGGAGCAGTTGGAGTACGTGTCTAAGTAACCTGTGTAAGTGCTCGCGCTTGCCGTAGAAGATGCTTATCAACTCACCGATAAGCAGGTCCATCAGCACTGCAACGTCCGTGGGAGGTCCTTCAACGCGGAAAGCGGCTTCGACTAGAGGATCTTCCTCGATTTCTTCTGTGTGGCCGACATTGACGTCTCCGACATAGGCGATACGGCAGGTGAAGGGCTTCAGGGCTCGACATCACAACCATGGGGTTTGCGCCGCCCGTTTTCTCTGCTGGCGGAGAAGGCGAATAGAGGCTTGAAACTCGAGGCTGCAATATGGTTGGGATATACGACGTCCTGGGATCTTCATGAGTTACCGAGAGATGTGTTGGACGAAGGCGGGGGAGAAAGAAGATCGTTCTTGGAGGCTGCATGTGGACGATGGTCGTCAGAAAATGGTCTATGAGGGATGTAACTAGCATCAGCGCCCGGGGGTACAAAAACGAAGATGAAACGGCCAACTCACACAGGACTCCTGCGATGGGATTACGATTGTGCCGGATGAGACGCAGTCATCAGAGCGCAGATGTAGACATTGTTGAACTTTCGGAGGATGTGGTTATGGAACACCTCGTCGCCTGCTGAGCGATTTTGACGAAGTCGGGCATGTCTGCGGGAGAGTGCTGGCGTCTGAGTGCAGATAAAATGTGAAGCAAGGTCGAAAAGTTAGGTAGTGTTTGTCGTCGTCGCGCGATTTAGGGCCGGGTAGATAAGATCGCGACAAGATGGATCAAACTTTCTCTACCACCACCATCGAAACCAGAAATAAATGTACGTCGTCCATACGATCCCTCCGAAATAATGACGCCAAATCTCTTGTACATTCCAGGGGAAAACTAAAGCGACGATAATTTACTTCCTGCGTTGATGTTGGTCTCGGGTCTGGTGCTTCCCCAACGTCTCTCTAGCGTAAGACATACATGCCGCCGGGGTCTCCCATGCAGCTGTTCGGAATTACTCTGCTGTGACTGGCCCCTCTTGCCACTGGGTCGTCCTATTTCTGCTCTATCTCGGCGACCCGTCTCCAGGACCTTCGCATTCCAACGGCGGAATCTCTGTGGCTTATTTCCCTGGACCAGATATTCGACCTCTCATCCCGGTGTTGAGGGTACATAGTACCGTGGATAATTTCTGCTGCTGAATTCACCCTGTATGATTGAGGTTGCAGGCTTAGAGACTGGGTATAGCCTCGCCGTATTATCTAAGGCTGAGCCTTCGTTGCATATGCTCCAACATCAGCATTCTGGCATCGCGAGCGCGTCTTTTATTGTCGAGCATCTTGAGCTTGGACAGTCGGGTCCGGCAAATTCTACAGCGGCATTTTCTTCTCGTTTCAATTCAGATCCCTACACGAAGTAATGTCGCCACGATGGGCGGAACTATTGCTGGTGTCGTAAACCTTCTACTCCTTNNNCTACAATTGCACCGCTTTCAATGCTTCTTGTATTCCCCGAGGACTTACTCTGGCAACGCGATTTCTCCAAGGGGCGATCCACGTGGCTACGAATCGAGTTCTTGATCGCCTATTGAAGTAAGACAAACGCAACAGAAGTAATGTCGTATGCTAAGCATTCAAAATGCGAGTCTGTTCTAGGTCGTCACGATGCGAGCAATAGAAGGTGGGCGGAAGCTTCTCGCCTCTGTTTTCTCTGAACTACGGCGTTCTTGTCGTTGCTCTTCCATTTCGACTGTACAATATTTACTAAATCGGGGAATTCTTATTTCTCTACCCTCGACGCGTTCGCACCTCGAAGCTGTTCACTTGCGTGGTTGTTAGGGATGTTGCAAGCCGATAGTTGACAATGACAGTCACGAGAAGCCTCGTTTCGATTCAAAGAGTAAATCATCAAATTCATAACAATATCATCAAGATCGTTAAATACATAAAGAAAAAGAACTAACTCGTAGCCAGACGTGTGGGATCGTAAGTAAGGTCATCAAACGGGGGGATAGGGTAGTGGTATACGGGTCATTAAATAAGACAGACAAGATGAAGGCCGGGGAGATTGGACGGGATCATCATCCTAGTTTAGCCTCTCGAGGCTAAAAATACCCGTTACTGGTAGTAACGAGAGAGTTCGTTTGAGGCGGTTGAATCTTCGTGAACGGAATACGATGGAAACCGAGATGAACAGAGACGAAGACCGGAAACGAATGCCTGGTGGGACCTGCGTCCGACCAGATTGTCCACTGACTGGACGGCGGATGGAGAGGTCGATGAATCATGATGAAATCGAAACTTCATGCCGATGACTGATGGAAATCCGGGTGGTGGTTCAGCCGATGAGCAGCTATGTGACACTCAGGTGCCACTCGTCGGGGCGGCGGGAGCTGGGGGAAATTCCGACGAAGCGGGTGCGGCCCATGAGGAAATCGACGCGCTTCATGCCCGACCGCTTCTCCTCCTCGTACTCCCTCGTGCTGCGGAGGCGTCTGTACCGGTGCTCGTACGCGCGTGTCGCGCGGCGCTGATCGTGCTCCGTCGGGAAGGAGTTCCACTCGTTCGAGGTGATGTTCATGCGGAGCGAACGATAGATGTAGTCGAAGACATCGCCGACCGTGACGTAGCGGCCGTTCGACGGGTACACCTTGATGGTCCAGGGGAGATAGGGCGAGGTGATGTAGAGCGCCGAGAGCGCTGGAGAGGTCGCTGGCTCGCGCAAGGCGCTGCTAGAGACGAGATGATGGTGACGGGTGATGGAGGCCGGCGAATCTATCAAGTCCCAAACGACGGCCGCGTTCTCGAGGTAGTGGTGAGGGCGGACAGTTGCAGAGTGTCTCGACGGGCTGGGGGCCTTCTGTGGCGCGTAAGAAGGCACCTGAGGCGCGTAGTAGTGGGGGTTGTGGCTCGGAGTCTTCGAACCATGGTACGAGGAGGCACGGGGGAGCGGCGGGGCCGTCGAAGGGGGTGTAATCGGTCCCAAAGAGGACTGGTTGGTCGAAACTGAGTGGGACAGAGCTGGTAAGGCTGCTGGTGGAGAGTATAGGATATTCTTGTAGGCGAAGCGGACTTGCTTGGGGACTTTGACTGGCATTGTGGAGTGCGAAGTTGGTGGGTTCGTTGAGATCGTTTGAGAGTGTGTGCGCGTTATAGGTTGTTATATCGTGAGTGGGGGTTTCGTAGAATGGACTGAGGACGGTTGAAAGTCGCGTCTTATAAGGAACAGAATGCGTTGTCAGGCCGTACTGCCTCCCGTTGACCGAAACTTTGAGTGGAGATCAGAGCTCCCCTAAAGGCACCGCCATCAGCACCAAATCTGGCTATGCAGCGCCGGTGATCTGTCCACGTACTGCTATGCTTGTCAGGTCGATAGGGCGACGTTAAGTCTATAATGAAGCAAAAATAGGATTGCCTCGGAATGATACAGAGCAGATACAGAGTCGGAATGTGGGGGAAAGAGAGTTCGAGGGGCTCTCCAAAGTCGGAAAGCTCGGGAACCGTAATAAAGTTCCGTCCGCAGTGTCGTCATCGTCCTCGCAAGCGCTTGCAGAGCGCATGGATTTGCATATGCATTTGGAGCGGAGCCACGGCATCCTTCGGGGTCTGCGCCATTCGTCATTCGCGCTCTCATTCTTCGTGATTGGTGCTGACAGTACAGCTAGTGGGGCTATAGCATTTCCACAGTCGACCCGAGCCCCGACGCCCAAAAATGCACTGCGGAGCGACGAAAACCCCCTGTGTGAGCAACATCTACTCCCTACGCTGTACGCTTCTCGCAGCGTACGGCGAGGAATGGGGCGGGGGGAGGTGACGAATGGCCGATTGCCCGGGACGAGGCGCTACAGAATGTAAGCACGATACAGCCACACAGCCGCATATGCCTAACCCCATAAGTCCGCTTCCTATTTTCCGGCGCTTCCGGATTGGCGACGCAATAGGCGAAATGGACGCAACCGAATATAGCACGAGAGCCTCGTGCAGGCACGTAAGTAACGAACACGAGGCGAATATGATCCATTTCCGCATTCCCGACTCCAGTGGTGTCCTAGGATGAGCGGAACTGACTCGACCGACTTAAATGAGATTCCTACCACTGGGTTCGTGACCGCATATGCGCAGTAGCCACCAAGACTGATGCTACTCCTAGACCCTACGTCAGCTTCATCGTCAAATAAGGAAGACGCGACCCAGAAAAACACGTTTGCCGACGTCCAACTGCTGTGCGCGCCTCAGAAAGCTCCATTGGGGCGACTCAGCGTACATTCAAGGCTATACATAGATGTCCTCGAGCCGCGATTTCAAAAAAACTTTGAATTCGCGAAAGTTAAAAGATAAGGAAGTTCCTCAAGGAAACGACGCATCGCGCCAAGTTCCCATTGGCTGATTGTCCATCTGTAAGCTAGAAACGAAAGAAGTGGGCGGCTTCGTGTGTCCGTCAGAGTCAATGATGTACGACGGCCTCCAGTGTACACTACTACCTGATGCCCATGGCGTCAAAATTCGATGGTCATTTCGTTCTATTAGTCAAAAGCATTGAATTAACACCTCAATGGGTCGAAAGTGGGATAGAAGACGGAACACGAGGCGTTCCCGAGAGCTGAGACTCCAATGCAGCCCCGCGTCACTCAAACTCGTTATCCGGAATACACACCTCTGCTTCTCTCAAGGCTATGTGCGCCTCTACCCACAACCCCTAAATGTTCGTCTGCGAGCGGGCATTTTTAGCCTCCGCCCTATACTCATCTGTACAATTTGGTACAAACTTGTCCGCGTCAGCTCCCAATCAATCAATCGTTGACATGTTAACGCGTCACTGAATCACAGCGCATCGCAGCTGCTGAGTGAGCTCTATCTTGAATAGTCATTGCACGGTAAAGACACGGATCGTTAGTGGCGCACTGGTATGCTTGGGGAGCGCATCGGGAACGAGGCTGTGATAGGCGCGCGAGCGCCTATCCTATCTCAGGACGTTCGCATCGCCCGCAGTGATGGGCGCTGAGAAACACGAGGCACGTCCGAGAAAAGTCTCATTAATTTTCGATAAGATAGCAAAACCGTCGCGCCCGAGTCGCAGCGACTCTCAGGCCAAAGCTTGAGTTTGAGAGGCATAATACACATACAATTTATTTCTTTTTGGACTACTTACTATGCGATGCTTGTGCTACGTACTGACATATGTACTACATACAATTGAAAGCTTTACTTACGAGAACGATTGTCTATGGGAACGGTTCCACGACGGCGTTCCTTTCCGTCACGGGCCGGGGAGGGCAGGGATACTTTTGGTACATCCGACTAACGTCCGAGAATAGGAAAAGTAGGGCTAGGGCATGGGGTATCGTAGATTATACGAAGAACAAGACGAAAGTGGGCTCGAAAGGACGCGAAGCGGGGAAAAAGGAACGGATCCTATAACTCCAAGCAAGAATGAATGGAAGAGGGCTCTATAGCGGGAACGAAGGCAGAAAAGCGGGGACGCAATACCTAGAATATCGAATAAAGTAGGACGATAGGGTACGGCTTCCGCGCTCCCGCCAGCGAGGCGGGAGAGCATGATCCCATTCGTACAATGACGGGTGGGACGAACGTCACACCGGCAGTGCGACGGCGATCGAAGGTCGGTCGAATAAGATTTCGGTCGGTCAGGCGGGTGATGGGTCCATATGCGAGTCGAGACGATGGCGTGTACTACTCACATGGGCGGTTCGCACGTCGGTCGAGGGCGGCGGTCGAGATGTCAGACGTGGCGAGCGTTGGGTCCTGGTCGTCGTCGCGGGTGCTACAGAACGTTGAGCTCCCATGTCTCCGGGCCGTTCATGGTTCCAGACAAGCCCATGAACCGTGTCCTTCCCATGAGAAGGTCGACCTTCTTGATCCCCTTCCTCTCCTCCTTGATCCTAGCCTCGACATCCCTAATGCGGCCACACCGCGAATAGTAGGCCGCATCGACGGCGTGGCGAACTTCTACGTCCGTAAGCTCGGCGTACTCCACAGGGTGGATAGGTAGCCGCAGCTCCTTGTAGAGGGAGTTGAGGACGTCCATGACCGACACGTACGAGCCAGCGACGGAGGCCGCTGGGACAACCTCCAAGCAGTACTTCAGGAGTGGGTGCGTGATGAGGAGAGACGGTAGAGGGGGTGATGTGGCGGACTCTGCGAAGGCTGACGGTGGGTACTGCCCGTCGACGATCGTTGGGGGCAGTGACAGGTCATAGTTGACCGCGGGCTCGCTGAACGGGCTGAACGCGAGGAGGAAATGGATTTGGATGGGTTTCGAAACGGGCACTGGGATGGCAAGGTCTGGAAAGAGGTCCTGGTGGGTCGTGTATGGCGTTCGCGGGTAAACCGCAGGCTGATAATCCTCGTCTTCTTCGTTCGGCGGCGTCCTCAGGTCGGGTGACGATGAGGAAGGTAGAGACGAGACGGAGAGCGCTGGCGACGACGACTCAGACCCGTCCGAGTAGACGATGTTCGTCGCTGCGAACTGTACGCGCTTCGACTTCGACATGGCGAGGGCGAGGAGGACAGCGGTGGTGGTGGAGATAGTGAGAGCGAAACAGGGCGCAGGTCTAAGGGTTTTGTATATATGGCAACCAATCAGTTTCGAGTCCGTACACGACAGATAGAAGAGCCGGATGGAGATACCGAGTTGACCCCGGCCTGATGGCGTCACAGGACTAACTTTTGCGCAGCACGCCGCCTCATATCGCCCTGGAGAGCAGCAGCGGCGAGAGGTAGCAGAGACAAATGCAAACGTGAAATACAAAGGAAGGACGACAAGAGGAACGGTCAATCGAAGGAGATGAAAGTGGGTTCGACAACGCGTACGAATGAACGGCGAAACATACAAGAAAGCATGCTTACAGAGGAAAGCTTCCCGTCACATGAACGGATAGACGGAATGGCGTCGGTGTAGGTGACGGTAGCAGACAGAAGACTGCGCTGAATCGTACTGACACCTAAGGACGAATTAGTTAAATGAAGGCCGTTTAGTTGGCCCAAGGGCAGAAAGCAGACGCACCTTGCAGCCCCCGAACTCTGATCCACCTCGGCCATCTCTCGTTACCTGGGTTTCGCGTCTATGAGCGCGATGGCATTTGTCTGAGATCAGCGCACTCGTGCGGTGTCGAACCTACGAACAAGGGCTATCATCAGCAATCATGTCATACATTCATCCGCACGTCCACTGTCGTCAGCGGCCAGACCCAGACCAACAGGGAGAACCGTCATCCCACGGCGTTCGCAGATCGCGCTTGTCTCCGAGAAGCAGCTCACAAATGACCGTTCTCGGCGAACGCGCAAGAGATGACAGCATCCACACCGGCCGGCAAGCAAGTATAGCGGGGGTCTACTCACCTGGATGAAAGTGAAACAACAGCCATGGGTCCTACGCCCTACGTAACCCCCGGTGCTGGCTTATTGTGCGCCTGGATACGGGCGAAGATGTGCATCCTGAAATGAAAATTGCCCTAAGACGTGAAACACGAGTTTGGGCACTTCAAGTCCGCGAATTTCGCGTTCTGAATTGGTTCTGAGAGCAAGAAAAACGGTGAGAATCGAAGGGGGAGTGCTGTGGACAATGGCGGCGGGAGATGGTGGTTGGGAGCAAGAAAGAGGGCAAGCGTATGTGGGCGTTATCGCGATGCCTCGCGGCCGAAACGAGGCAAAGTTCAACATGCGTCGACTTTCCTGTCACGTGCATCCAAACGCGTACGCGAATTGTTCCGGAAATGGTAACGGAATACATTCGCCTCGTTTCCATCGTGTGCTATGCGACGATGAGGCCAGTTAATGTAAATTTTATCTAACCGTCGTAATGATCATCTGTAGGTTCCAATAAAACAGCGATCCGCTATGACAGAAATTTGACAGCGAATTCTCGAGGTGGGCAGTGAACATCTCTTGTTTCATTCATTCTGGAATCACAAATGACGTGTATACGTGTATTGCAGTTGTAACTAGGTAGCCATATACGCTTTGATTGTTTTTCCACTGCCTCGAACGCAGTGGAAGCACCCCAATCTCATTAATATCCCAGGCCTCGATCATCTTCTCGAGGCCGCCGGCACGGTTGAAAGACGGCAAATCCATCAAAGACCGAAAGCAGGTTTGCCACGGTAGATTCGGCCGAGTTGAAAGAAGCTCTCACCGACATCCCTAGAAAAGGAAATTTGCGCCTCTGATCGAGACGATCGGAACCACGTTGAAGCCACGTTTTTCGATCGCCTGCGATTCACCTTCGATGATCCTCGAGCTCGTAATAAAGATCTTGATTTTAGCTGCGAACACTGCTTTATCTGGAAGGGCATATGCCACGTTCTTCTCTGACGAGTTCGAATAGAAGATGACTCGTACGCTGGAGCTAGATTGGGACCACGCGTAAGCCTGCAGACATAGGCGCTACTGTCCTATTTTCGAGCGCCTGGTGAAGGTTAAAGCGGCATGCGAATGCATCGTGTTGCTTTTTTAAATATTTCATACGTCACCGATGCGTAAGTCTCGGAGTAAGGCTATTATGCCATTTACCAAGTTTCGTTGCTTGCAGGTTGAATATGAGGCTCACTGTCTCGACCGCGTGTTGATTTGTCGAGTACCGATTACCACGCGTCGATAATCTAATCTTCATTACTTCGATTTCTGAATCAAATATCAACTCGATGCGATAATTGAGTGAATAACGTACTATTGTACTATCAGAGGCTTCAAGGAATCGAATGAAGAACAAGGTCTAACCGTGAAATACTCCGCCCAATGTACACTCAAAGTCAAACAAAGTCAACTATGCCGATCTCGTTAGCGATAACTCAAGCGCCCACAATCCCCAGACACTCCCGATACGTGATCGTCGTCATGCCTTGGTCTTGTACTTCAACTCGAATGTCTTTCTTCTGAAATGGAGAGGAACGAGATCATGCGACGCCCACAAATTCACAATGGAAGTTTGGACGAGGAGTTCCATCCAAACATCCTGTCTATTGTTTGTAGCATCGCCCTCACACGTCGAAGACCTAACAAGCACGAAGCTTGGATAGGAAGCGACCGTATCGGATTCGGCATCTTAAAGTACAAGACTTCTTCGACTTAGCCACGATCTCGAGCCTTGTAGTCAAAAGTCAAAAAGCGACGAATTAAATCCACGTTGCCATCGAAATTACGCACCTTCGCGGGTCTCAAACCTCTCACCTGTGCTTACAGGGTCCACGCTGCGATTGGAAATGATGCCGTCGGATTTCGGGGTAGACACTTGTCCTCCTCACCAGGCTCACTCGATTCGTCAACGCCACAGACACCACGTGAACCCAGAACACCGCCTATCGCTGGGTTCGCTCCCAGTCTGCGTGGGAGACGCTCTGAATGTGGGCGATGGGAAGCTTGGTTCGAGTCATCTTTGACCTCGACCTGATCGCACCGTTCCCCAGGTTCTCCCCAGACCGTGTTCCTATCCTAGGCCTTACTTCCCTTCACATTCATGCATCGATCAAGATCGATTCTCCACTTTAATACGTTCGCGGAAGCATATCGCTGCGCGATGCGTCATCAACCAGACGGCGTACACAGTCGTCAACGTCGACTCGACGACGACAATCACGGTAAGTATTTCGTGTTTCATACGGGCATTGATATACATATACATACATACTATCCAGGCGGGCTATAGAAATACATTAAATCCAAGCAAATGTCCGCGGTGTGCTTGCACTGTCCGCCAGGGAAGTGAAGGAAGGCAACATGGGCGCTACCAAGCTAGGCTGAACGACGTCCAGGAGGTGTGTTGTCCGGCGACGGCGTCGTGAACTCTAAGCTCCACGAGCTTTCTCCCGGTACGGCGAAGACATGCTTGAGGACGTGCCGGCCGAGAAGGTAGTCGACTCGACGAACGCCATCATGGGTGGCCTTCCCTTGCTTGACACACCTAGCCTTGGAAGCCGCCGTGATCTTCACCTCGTCCTCGGGTGCGAGGCGGCTGAGCTCGGTGGTGATGCTTTGATGGAGGTGCTCGTAGATCGCAGAGTAGAACCGGCCCACGGTGAGTCGGCCGTTCTTCCCAGCGCTGATGGGGATGGGGTTGCTGAGATACTTGCAGTTCGCGATCCGGACGAGTACCCCGTCGACGTACTCGTCTCCTGTGGCGCACTCGTTGTCAGTGTTGCTTTCCTCGCGTTCCTCATAGACATCCCAGGGCTTCTTCTGGGCGTCGAGCATGGACGTGCTCAGGCCCGCTTGGTGGTAGACGAGGGTGCCGTCTGATGATGGGAGCGACGCCTCAGACACCGAAGGGCTGGCGGAGGGGGAAAGTTCGGGCGTCGTGGTGTTGCCGTTGTTGATGACGATCTCCTCGTCGTCGTGCGAGAAATGCACACCTTTGCTGTGAGCCATTGCACTCTACAGCATCGAGCGTGGTGAGCAATGATTCCTACACAGCGTGATGGAACTCAAACCGCACCTTTACGAGATGAAGGGGAGAATGAGGCGGCGAGTTCGAAACTGAGCACGGGTCAGCTCTTCGAGCCCACTGAGGAGGAGGAAACGCACGGACCGGGTAGGCGATTCGCAGAGTCTGGGGCGGGGAGGCGGGGGGAGTAGCTATGTTACGTACGCCTGCGGAAGCGTTCAGCGGTGAGCGCAAGGGAAGGGTGTTGATATCACTCACAGTTGCGCTGACGTGCGACAGAAGTTTGGGGGAGGGTAAGTCGTTTCTGCCAACCCACCTCCATTCTAACGACTTATATAGCCTTCCCCGCCCCCCGAATCTGACCGACCAACGCAGTGCAATGGTGTAAATAAGGAACACACAAAGGAACAAATTGTGAGTCACAACTACTCACTGCTCTACACGCTGCTGACCTTGTCCTGTACTCCGACGGGCGCTTGCCAGCTCGGCACCAAAAACGTGCCCCGCCGTGAGTTTGTGTTGCATCTCCAGATTCGAAGATCCCCAATTGTCCGGCCTCGATTGAATTGGGGTGGATCTGATTGATGATGGCTGGTGGTCTCATGTCCGAGAGGTGCGCAGAGTCTAAGTCCCTGTAGACGTTAGCTAATGCCGCAGGTTCGTTAGGATTTTCAGGGATCCATGCCGTCCGGGCTCGCCGGTCCCGCCTCTTAGTGAGAGGTTATACGCTTCACCCAGGCGATCGCACTTTGTGTCGTTTCTCCACTTCGAACTCACGGCCCTGTCTGACGAAATTGACCTAGAGCGCCCGTACAGACCGTTCGTGTGCCGACCTCTGGGACAACCGGCGAGACCTCTTGCACAGCGTGAAAAATGTCCAAACAAAGATCCCTGTTCGCGATCATAGTCCCCCGTGTCTCTCCAAAGTAGCCCCAACGCCCCAACATGCCGTCCACAACCCACAAACCAACATATTGGAACAGACCGAATCGGTGCCCAGGCTTTTGCGGCGCGAGTACAGAGCATTCCTTCCGGGACAGCACCTCGGGATCTTCCACGAAGAGTATTCATTTGCGTCCCCCGTCTTGTTCCAAATTCGTTCGGGCGTCGTAAGAATCGCCACCGTGACCTTTTGCTCTCACTTATCTGTTTGTACGATCGCGTCGTTTGTGGGTCAACTTGACAGGCTGTAGACAGATATATCGACCTATTGTACTTGGCGCATCGTCTCGAAGACATTATTATACTCAGCAACTGCCGTGAGGCAAATTCAGCATGTGTTTTCGTCGAGTATCGCCCCTCAAAGCCTTCGAAAGCCAAGGATGACCGGCCAATGAAATTATTGTACGGCCACTAAACTCAGTGTCGGCCTAAAATTGTCTCGTACCAGGATTAGTGAGCGTTCACTCCACTGTCGCTACCAATGAGTCGGGTGGTAGATACGCTGAATGTGTCCGAAGGCTCTACTAGCCAGAAGCTTGAGCCTGCTGTGCTCAAACCTTACTCCTGCCTCATGGAATCAATTCCGGCAACAGCGTGAAGGATCCACATTTCAAACACACTTTGGGCACACCACGCTTTAACCACAGCACGTGTGGTAATTATTAGTAGACTAAGATAAACTTAATATATCTACACTGGCCTTTACACCTGACGAGCCCAAGGTATGGACGCTGTGAGGGAGATGTTATTTATAACAGCCACTCGACCCACGGCGCGGTCATATTCCGAAATGGTCAGTCAGCATGATCTTCTATTCCAAGACATCATCGAATTCGAAGCGTTGGGAATCTATACCCCGCCCAACGCCAGACGAGAACAATTGCTGCGGACATGTAGAGCCATCTCGTTCCTGCAGGCAAATCTGCGACATAATCCTGGTATTTGCGATAGCCTGATACACAAACCTACCTCCAACCAAAGGAGAGGAATGACAGTTCGGGAGCCCTAGAACCTGACGTCCGTCTTGGCCATTTGACACTATCATGATGGGTGGTAACTCCATCTATCTATATAAACGAACGCCATAAATATCGCCGCTCTGAGACTTCGGTATTCGCCGCCAATCATCTCCTCTGGTCGGCGGGAGGCCGGAGAGATCCCAGCATGGTAATGGCCGACAGGAAATGCCTAATCTGCCGAGTCTCGAAAGTGCTGAGAGACAATTCGTGCGAGCGGGACTTTCTGAACGTCCACACGCATGGCGCCTATGAATAGAACATAAATAATCCCAGGGCGTTATTGAGCTATCGAGGAAACGTCGAGGTCTAACGATATCATTCCTAACCTCTTCTCCTGCCTTCAGCGCCCTGTTCTTGAGGGGCCGCCCCATTATCTTTAAGCTCAAAGCTCGTGTACGGGTGACGCTGAGTGTCGCATCTCGAGCTCGTTTCCATGGCCGCCGCAGGGGTTCGGGTCGGGTCTCGGAAGTGACTGACGTAGTTAAAAAATGAGAAGGCGGTAGTCTGTACTGCTTTTAATCGGGAGGAGAGTCCAGGAGTGTGTGCAAGGGCGAGATTTATCCGAACTGACTCATCCCCCGATATTGAACCAAGCCGAATCTTCGTAGATCCAAGATTTCACGATGTCCCATCCTGGAATATCTCTTCAATCGCACGATCATCAACTCATCCTCTCACAATTAGCACGAGTAGCATACGCTCGTCCATTCTTAAGCTACAGAATGGAAGAAAGAGCTCGCCATCTTGAAGTATCGTCGGATCTTTGGCCTCCCTCTTTAATTCCGAGAATTCAATAATAATTTAAGTTATCGAGTTGAAGGTGTGACGCTCTCAAGCGCCGGCGGAAGTAAGCCCACTGCTTCCGTTCCGAATCGGGATTCCAGTGCCAAGAACAATGCGGCTGTTGATCCCTTTCCGCTTCTATCTTCGGAGCGCGCGTAGACTGGGGATCTACAACCGCGAGAGGAGAGGCGCTTGGGCACCAGTGTTGAAAAAATGACGAGTTGCCGTACAGATACTTGAGCTAGTATTACTGAACAAAAATGTAGATGCCAAAGGTATTTATGGCCAAGAAAGAAAAATCTCCGGGTTACATACACGCATAGAGAGATAGAGAAAACGGAAAAAGCGCAAAATGTGTATGGACTATGACCTAGTTGCTGGGCTGAATAGCACGTTCCATTCCTTTGAATTACCTTCGACAGGTTGAAGACCATGAAAGTTCACGTTGTGGCCGAGGAAGTCAATATACCTTAGCCAGTCATCCCTCTTCGGGGAGCGCTGTTTATGCATTCTGTTAACCGCGTCTTTGAAGTCTTTGGGTAGACTTGACCAGACATCGTCCCTTGGGGCGTTCTGGAGCTCTGCATAAATACCACGCAGGACGTCTCGAATCGTGACACGGCTCTTGGCACCGTGAACATCGACGGCAACACCTATTGCTGGAAGACGGATTCGTATCGTCTTCAAGGGGTGACCGTTATTGCAAATGGCGGCTTTGTCACCGATATTCTTGAGGTCGGGTATGGCGCCTTCATCGGAAAGTTCTCGCGATACGTCCCACGGTATCATTGTTGGAGCGGCTAGGCTCCTGTGGATCACGATTCCGGACACCGAGGTCGGCGAGTTGGGATCGGATATGGAATTTGGAGGTGGTGTAATAGGGCCGCCAGTTGATACCGTGGATAAAGAGTTCGTCGGGGATGGCGTCGATATTAAACGCAAAGGCGGAGACGCCTGTGGAGTCGTTGGTGCAGGGCGAGAACCCGACGAAACATCTCGTCCAGGAAGGCTCGTGAGGATGTCGACGGGGGTGAAATGCACCCTGTTGACCCTCGACGCCTCTGTAACGTCTGACATGCTTGGGTAGAGGGTTGAGGTCTATAGAGCAGGCGGAATGGATTATATCAGCTAAGCGCACAGCTTTGACTCAGTATTACTCGTCTCACCTGAACGTCGCTGCGTGAAAATGGGAAATTTTACCTTCGCAACGAGGGTGAAGGAGAATATGAAGGGATAAGATGGAGTGGTCTTGCTTCCCGACGTATCCCTGGGCGGTTTATATATGTCAGCCTGGTGTCATTATGACCTGGAGTACAGCCAATGCCCCGCCACCACCTTATTCGTCGCGCCAGACATTATCTCCATTTGACATGTTTCGGCGCGCCCACCAGAATTAGTTCTTGTGCCTCGTTGGGATCGGAAAACATTTTTTGACTAACTCTTCATTCAATTGGTACGTTAATGACTTTACACCATCCTTCTACACCGCGGAAAGGGCTGTGGTATCGAACGGGGTTCCCTAGCCGGAGTTCGCAATGTGTTGTACATTGAATGAAGCATTGTGGGCAACACACTGGGACTAACAGTGAGTATTTTCTCAGTGAATCACTCTCTTAGCACTGGCAACAACGGGCGCTTACTCACAAAGTGCGCCTCAAACCCACTGCCTGAGAACCCCGTGGCGTGTCCGCCTAAATTAACATTCGTACATTTACTCCATGTCCGTTAAGCGAAGTTTATGTTTCTCAGTGGGCGGCTGGACATCGTTGAGTCTCGTGGGGCCATGAAGTCTCAATTATGAGATCATTTACTATACGTGGGTGCAGGAAGAGGAGCGTGCAACCCTTTCCTCGCAGCGATCCACCGGTGAGGTGAGATCCCAACGGCGCCGGCCTCCCGGACCCCGGCCGACTTTGAGACGTTGTACCGATCACGTCCTCAGATATCTCTTATCTATTTTGTACTCATCTTCAGTCCTATAACAATGAATTGAATGTTCAATCATGCCGTGAGCGGACGACATTGTGCCCCGTACACTAGAGTTCGGTTGGTCGAAGGACTAAAGAGCGCTAGGAAGACCAATTCCCCGAGCCCGGATACGAGACCCGGCCCGTTGGAACTTGGAGTGTGGCTTCCAGGGCGCCAACATCGCACACCGTTCAAGCTTTCAGGTAAGCTGTGTTCTAACACAGTATAGCAGTGCAGCGCAGCGCTAGGTCCTGGACAAGATCCGCCACAATCGACGGCGCTATTCATGAATCGATGAGGTCACTGCGTCTTGTATGGGATGGATTGTTGGCGTGGGTTCGGAAACGCGTCACATACTTCCGTTCGGTAAAACGTCCGCGACATGGGTCCCCGAGTGCTTTCGTAATTGTCTTCCCGCGAAGCAAAAACTTTTTCGCCGCCTCATGGACTTCGGTGCGAGACAATGTGCAGTCTGAGGTGAGGTCTCTCTGTGAGTAACAATGAGGCCGTCAAATAAACTATCTCATACAGCTTATCTGGGGCTATTCCGAGGGGAGAAAGTGCGAGTCATGCTCCTTGTTGCTGCGCATGGCTAGTGAGTGATTGATTGAAACACAAGTATAGGCTTCAACAACGGCTCCAGCTAATCCTGATCTGCCGGTATTTTCCGCTCACGCCGTGAATATTCCGTTAGCTAGGGCATGTCCAACGTAGAATTGTGACTTTTATAACAGAAGTTACCAGTGACACCTACCCAGTGTTCGATCATCCAGGTACCGCGCCCCATCCCTGCGCGAAGCCAGTCCAACCACGCGTGTATGAATAGACAGAAGGGCAGGGACAATGGGTGTACAGCGATGGCGTCGGAGTTTCTGCTGCGGCAATGACATATCAGTGATATGATGGAAACCGCCGGTCCCACAGCGAATCTACCCAAACTAAGCGCCTTGAGGGGAGGAAGCGCTTGGGCGCCTATTTTTGCGCGGTCGGCGGGGAGCAGCCGCCGAAGCCGCCTTCGAAAGTCTAGCCTCTGCTCTCCAGATATCACAGCCGAGCCCCCGTCTATCATTGATGGGAAAGTGCAAAGCTAGATTCAGTGTAGGGTCAGCGAGCGCTCCGAGGCGCCCGACGACCATGTACGACCATATCCTTCTAGCCATCGTTCAGTGGCAAGGAAAGAAGCTCCTTCCCGTCCAATATTCATATTCTACGCTCGTTTCATCTTGAAATTCGGTATGTGGGTGCCTCCATCTCGCCTGTCACCTAGAAACCGCTGACAGAAGGGCGCGGGAATTTATGAAGAACCTGATTAGGAAAGTGGCGCTGCAAGCGGGCCGTTTGTGCTTTCGGCGCTTCCTATGATCCAATGGTGACGGAAGCACCAGGCATACATATAGTAATAGAATTGATCATGAAAGGAAGCTCTTCGTGGGGACACTTTACGATGTACTTTTGGACTCGCATCGTGGACGACTGGACCAAAGACTTTACGTTAGGGAGACCCCCTGAACCGTAATCGACTCAGTGGAAAGATCGCAACGGCTCCGGAAGGCTATAGATATGCGTGTAATGGCTTGCTTTTCTTCGGATACTATTCTAATGAGAGGGGCGAAAGGCAGGTCGAGGATGAACATCAAATAACAATGCGTGATTGTTGATATCCAGAACTGGAGGCCGTGAAAAGGTACGCAACCGCTTCCCAAGAGTACGAGAAATGAAAACTCTGAGGGGTGATAACGGAGATCAAGGAGGATAGACTGAAGAAGACGGGGAACAAAAGATGCTGGGACGAGCACAAGCCAAGCGCATAGCCATAGTCGTGGACATTTGCCCAAGGCTTTATGGTGGCAGGACGAATGGAAGCAGCACACTTTCGACAGACATTCAGCCCGATCCTCCGACTGAGAATCAAAACTCCGTCCGCGGACAAGGTCATTCTGGTGAACTAGGGAGGGCGAGGGCGAGAATCATGAACGGGAAATGACACGGTGACGCATAATGTAGTATACATTAAATGACGTTAAAAGAAAATGAATGAAGTCTACTTATTCGATGACTCTCACGTTGAGGTACAAATATCTGAAGTGAATCGATAGCCGTTGAGAAATACACAACTTCCTCAGTTGCTGAGATCCTTTCCCCATCGCGAAGAGAGAAGATTTCACCGAAAACTATTCTGACGGCTCCTGGCTAGATATCCTCCTTTCCGAGGACGAATTCTGACTGAAGGGTTCCTCCTGACGTTAATGGCAGTGAGCATGTAAGATCAGAGAACGTCTGGCAGACTAATTGAATGAATGGAAGGGAGAAGCTGCGAGAAAGAATGCGGGACGAGTGGGGGGTATACGCCGGTTTCTAATGGGTCCGCGGCGAACCCGATTCACGTCGGCTTATCGGTATAAATCCTGTATCTCTCTATATCCTAAGCAAGTACGGCGGATTGTGAACAAAGAGGGAGACTCTAGGGAAAAAAATGTCGAGCGTCCAAGAAGTGAGACGAGTAATCGGGACGTTAGAAAGGAAGACGATTGGACAGAGAGTACGCTGGATATCCTGACGCTGGCAACCTCCGAATTACAGCGGCAAAGGAAGGTTAAATGTGTGTCGGTCAGCAATGATAACCACGGTGACGATGTGAAGGCCAGCAGTTAGGTTTACATCTCGAAGTTGAACGTGTGTGATGAATCTAGCGCCGACGAGTACATGGAAGGAACCTTCAGCGTCCAGCGTGGAAGACAGTAGCGCCACGTACCCGCCTCAAGAAAGCTGTGCCACAATATAGTACCCTCGTCCTCATCAGAGCGGGTCCTGGCATCGGTCGTAATAGCTGCGCTCATTCCCGGCCCCGTCTGTCTCCATCGACACCGCTCGCAATATACGACCTAGAAGCTGGTTCAGTGTTCGGAGAAAAAATTGGATCCCTCTCCAACGAAAGGAGTGTGCTGGACCCCCACGAGCGCCTATTCCTTCGCAGGGCTCTGGTGTGCGGATCATCCCTCCATGTAAGCACATAGACCTTAGGGACCACCGAGCACGAAGGGGAAAGTCTCGGTCGCGCAATCTCTGACTCGTCGAGGCGCCTACGTCCATGTTGACACCCATGGTAGTCGGAATCTTGAATTCGGTATGACCGTCAAATATTGAACTATTGATCGTCCAGAATAGAATCAAAACACCGTGTTCGAAACGCCGGGTGCCACGGGTTGCCACTGTAACTATGGCGGGGCTGCCAAGGCAGTAGAGATGGTGTAGAAATGAGAGAATGACATGGGACATCAGCACGCACAGTCGATCAGTGTAGCTCAGAACAACGAATTGAGAGCAGACACATTTCGGTTAGCACCTGAGCAAATTGGACGGCAAGTGACACATCAGACTAGAAGAAAGAAAGTTCTTCGAGAGGACATAGCAATTCCGAGCGAATGCCAGAGATGCCGACAACGTCTAGCCAGCCCGCAGCGTACTTCATTCGGCTTCAAAGCACCAGCGCTAAGAATGAACCACGAATTTATCAATCTTCGAGGATGGTCTCCACGGCGTCGAACGAGACGTTTAACAGCGACGATGGAACGCCAGATGTTGATGATCTCTTGCGATTACTACCACGACTACGAGATGGGGCCAAGCCTCTCGATCTTTCTGCAGAGTAATAAAGTCAATACGCGTACACAAGTAAAAGGCGCCGAAGAAAATCAAATACGAAATATCACATCCCTAATACTCATCCCCGAATTGGAATCTCGAGCGCTAGAGAATTCCAGCTCGGAATGGTAACGCGGTTCAGTGTACCCACGGTGTCGATGTCTAGGCGATCATTCTTCTCCCGAGAGAGGACACACATCACGAAAATCTTCAAAGTGCTATCTGACGGTGTAAATGGCATGAATGGAAGATTTAAAAAGGTATTACACAGAAAACATACCGGGCCAACGAGAAACCATCCGCTGGTTTCCAGCACATCCTGCAGGCAGCTCCATTCGAGATATAATCGCTAAGAATAACTCGCGGATGTACCAAGCATCAAGAAGAACATTCTCTCGATTAATACCAAGTCTACCTATGGAGCGCCCATTCGCAGTCGAAGGATACGCACGGGCGACACGCCTCGCATACGTCATAACATTCGGGCGTTGCTTCTTGACGAAAGGGGACGAGCGCGAAGATCCTAAGCAAGTTCGACGGGCGGTAATGAAATAAACGGAAGCCTACGCCACAACGAAAACATACCACGGATGAGAAACATGCGCCACGTCCCCACGCTGGAACACGGAGATGAGTCGGAGGACGGCTATCGCGTACCAGCGACGATATATCGGGTTAGGGACTTCCTTCTTCGAAGGCGGCTGCGCGTGCTTGGAGGTAGGAATTCGAAAGAAGAGTTGCAGCCGCGCTTATGAGCTAGAAGGTGTGTCTTCTTGAGAGACAAGTGAATGAGTACTCAACTTGGGAAATGATATCATTGACGGATGACGCAGTCAGACAATTGTGGACACCTAAGAATATCCATTTAGTTCATCAACGACCGACGAAAGGACCAGTACTGGCCCTCCCACCGAAACCACGCCGTTCCTTGATAACCTGGTATGGGAGCTGTCACCCGGGCCGCGACGACTTTCTGTGAGAGTGAAAGGAGTACCAGTACAACTGGAAGTAAGTACGCCGAGGATGCATCTGGTTGTGCCCACCGAAGGCGTGAATAACCATTGTCCTCGTCGGTGAAGGAGAATCACGCACCGCGCCCGCGCTGTCAGTGAAACTGTGCTTCCACACCTCGGACAAATAGCTTACGAGCGTGGCATACCAAAACATCGGCCACATACCCAGATGGAAAGCTGTGCTTGTCCTATGTAGTAGGCCCCTCCTCGTCGGTGTTGAGATTCGTGACCTTCCTATATCCAGCCCCACTCGCACCGTTAGCACCTCACAGGTCCGCGCTGTCGGCTGTCGGCTGTCGGACGAAAGGGCCTAGCATGCGCCTAGAGATGGAGAGACACCGTCGCACCTCAGGATGACTCGTGAATGCCGACTGCGCTGGTTTCTCTGAGGGAGTCCGGAGACCGCAGGGGCAGATGTTCCGACATTCGTCATTCATGAGCAACCCAATAGGGCCGTCGTCTGAACCTCTCCCAGCCCAGCGCAGCAGCCAAGTACACGTCAGTAAAGCGTCGTGTCGAAGGTCCAGATGCAGACGTAGGCACTGCTTCAGGACGCGAAAGAGAGCCTACTCACCGCGCCTCTTGATCATGGTTAATCTGATATTTGAATTGCGTTCGTTCGTTCGTTCGTCCGTCTGTCTGTCTGTCCTTCTGTCCGTCCGTTCGTTTCAAATTTCTTTCTTTCTTCAAAGCCCAAAGTCGACTCAAGTTAGACCTGGGTTGGATTTCCCTGGACTCAGAGACACCGACCGACCGACCGACCGATCGGACAGGAATTCAGAAATCTCAGCAAGGCCGCTGTAAATTCGATCGAGGGGCCATTGAGGATTCAATATTCAGCGATTTACATACATACATACTTTGATCATGTATGTAGCGCCCAGAAAGTCATCGATATCGATCCGGAGCGCCGACGTGGGTGTGGGCTATTCGGAGCACGGAGCACGGGGTGCATGTGGCGATGTGGGGACATCTGACACCTATGTAAAATCCAGGGAAAGATACACCGCTGGGCGAGAAGGACCACGTTATTTCAATGCCATTCGTGATCGCCTCGGGATCTACTTACATCTTGTTCTGGTGGCGCCGTAGGCCCGAGATATTCCGTGTCAGTCCGTTATAATTATTCGCGTGCTCCCGATGGAGGGAGAATAAGCAGCTACATGTTATAGTCAGATCAGTGGAGGCTTGCGATTTGAAGAGGGTAGAGTATCAGAGGCGTTCGTTCGTTCGTTGAAGTCGAGCGCTTCGTGTTCGAATTTCGGAGTGCGTCCTGGCCAGCCAGAAGGGAGCCCCCCAAGTCCAAGTTAGTTATCATTGCGTTCCATTTTCAATTCCGATTCCGCAATGCGTAGTAGTGGGGCGTAGATGGCCGTCTTCAAAGAAAACTAAAATTCTACTCTACTCTAAAGGTACACACAATTTATGTAAACGGCTAGCGTAGATCAAAACTCGTGGATCGTATGGTCGTCGACGTCAAAATAGGGGATCGAGGAGTGGGTAAGGAGGATATTACAACAACGATAAGACGGCGTAAAAGAGGTAAGGGGGAGAATGGGCCGTCCGGGCGGGAGTAAGTGGTCTACGGCGGTACACTGGCAGGTAGGGTAAGAGGAAGAGTAATGTAGCGTGCGATCGCGAGAGGAAGGTGAGTTTACATCGGGGATGGTGGCGAGGAAGAGAGGAAAGCGTGTGATGTGGTGAGGAAGAGAGGAAGACGAGCGTAAGGGGGTGGGCGAAGAGACACGATCGGAAGGTGATAAGCTATGTCGTTGGGGTGGGGGATAAGTGAGGGGATAAAGATACAGCGTCCTTGAGCGCGTTGGGGTATGGGTATGAGGGATAGCCGGGGTATGCATCGCGTTGAGCGAAGGGGTGGATGAGTGGATGTATGCGTCGAGCTAGCAGTTACACTGCTCCCGACGTCCCCTCCCCCACAAGCACCATCCACCTCGTCCCCTCCCCCCCCTCACGCATCTGCATCCCCCTAAACACCTT